TCAACAGTCTTTTTTGCAAATTCATTTCGCTTTTTGTTTTAAAATACTGAAGCTTTGTCCACAAAAACTATTACAGTTTTCCATATTTTATTCATTAAAGTTATTCTATTGAATAATAATTCTTTTTACGTTCGTAAAAGTATGCATCCTAATGTTCGTCATATTATCCCTGACATTAATTTGAATTTCCTTTAAGTTATGGTTTAAATCTCACTGAGATTGCTAACACTTTGAAATTCTTTGACTATCTAACATAATAATTGTTTAGAAGCTACGTATATTCCAGTGTTTATTTAAATCTGACCCATCATTAATTTTAAGTTTCATTATTACTGATTGTCGAAGTTTGAAATTTGTATCGCTAACATATATTGATATTATTTCGTGAAAGTAAAACTGCATAAATCTATCAGTATATGTATTAGGTAACTAGAAAGCACTACTTACTTTTTCGTTGATCAACTGTTTATTCTATTTCGGTTTATTTAGAAATTTCATTATTGTAGATAAATTCTGAAGTATTGAGCATTTGTCCGTTAATGAAAAGTAGACATGTGTCTGATATTCGTTTTTCCGAAAACTACTTAACGTACTGATCATAATTAAGACCAAGAAGTACTGAATAACTATTTCGTCTCAGTATTGGATTCCTCAGTAGTACATATAAACGACATCCTTAGGGATTGAAGACAAGACCTTCGGGTCTCTCAGCTAACATTTAACCTTCAGACTACTGAGGCAGTATCAAACTTTAGTAAATCCAAAAAAATCTCAGATAATACACTCTGATATTACAAAAATAAGTGTTATTTATTATCGTTCTGTAATTGTGATTCGAAATGTATTTTAAAATAGTCATATGTACCTCTTGGATTGTTAGTCGTTTGATAATAAATTCATCCCCAATATTCCTGTATTTTGATTTTGAAAAGGATTTATAACTTGGTTGTAATCGTTATTATCAGAGGATGTTGTAAAGATTTTCGAATTTGAAGTTGTTGATCGCGCAATATTGCGAATTGACCGTTTAGAAATGTAAACAAATAAATATCAACTCAGTGGTGTGAATTGAACACGGTGCAACATGAGAGCTGGAATATTATGAAGTCTAAAATTGATTTTCATCATCTCTTAACTGAATGAGCTCTGTGCGTACTGATGACGGGCTTAAAAATGAGTTTTGAAATATTCTGCTGTAAAGTCAATAATCACCTATTATCTGTTTATTTTTTTTATGGCTGATTAAAATTTTTGGCACGACAGAATTCATCACCGTAAAGAGATAAAGGTCAAGGTTACACAATAAATAGACGAATTAGAGTTAAGATTATGAACAGAATGGTCTTGAGTGCTGTTAGAAGTATGAGGGCGGTTATCACTTCTCGGTTGTTCACACCGTGGAAGGGTTCTTCTGGAGGTGCCTGAAAAGGAAATTAGATTAGAGGTGGTCTTAGTGACCTGGGAGCTGACCGCAGTGTCCAAGGGACAACTGATTGAGGTCGGTCACACACGACTTTTTTATGGGCAATTTTTGTGTTAGCTCCGTACTTGTTGAGACCTTACCGCCGAAGACGGAAATCCGTGGGATAAGGCGAGGTGTGCATTTTTAGGGTCGATCTTTTCTAACCCCAACCCTCCTTGTTGGAAGGCAGCATCTCTGTCATGCTGGTTGTCTGAAGGAAACACCTTACTGCTGTCACATCTCTGTACAGTCAGTAGTACGATTTCGCCTTCGTAACTCGGGTTTGTTGCTTTCAGTCTTACCGTTCATCAACCGACCTGTCTGACATGGTAGGACTTTGAGGAACAGTTGTTCCAGCCAGTATAGCTCGGTTGCTTCAACACGATAGACAAGCCCGACCACCACGTCAAGGTATCAACAACGGTCGGGACGAATTAGAGTACTATTTGTTAAAAGATTATAAACAAAACGTTAAAGGTGTGAATTGACTGCATGAGTAATGTTATAAATAATTACTATGTGGTTATGATTGACGTTATCCTGAGCTATATCTGATAGTGCATGAAACTGACGAGTTTTTCGACATTTATGACGCTAACCAAGACGTTATGACTGACTAATTTCAATCTCATACAGCTAATCTTCATATCACAGTACTACGTCTTGAACAGGGTACGCAGTTTCCACTTCAGTAGACAATTCCCAGTATGTAAAACTTTGGAAATACGCATTCAAATCACCTAAATCCGTGTTCTGGAATGGTGTTATCTATTCGATTATTATGACACATTGATAGATCTCGGCATCACCCACACGGTGTTACTACAAGATAATTGATTATTGATCAAATAAACTGCGATGATTAGACGAAAGTGGAATTGATACCAAGTTACAGTACGCAAATAAGCATTGCTTAATCTCAAGGAGTTCACAATTATTTAAGTAGGCGTCATACTTTAAGCTAGCATGACTTCTAATCACCGGTATGAAATAATTTTTGCTCTTTGTTGTTATCATGCTTAACTAATAAACCAGGTTAACTTAACAGTAAACATACATAGCACAGAAAGCCGCCGACCTAGGTTTCGTTCTGGTTGACTTTTCTTGGCATAGCGTAACTGGAATCATAAGGAGATCGATACTCTTTGTGGGATTCGGACTCACGGCAACTAGCTTCACAGTCTAATACATTAAAACTCTGTAATAGTCAGTCGGGAATTGTTTTCGTATAAGACTGAAAGATTTAGAATTTATTAATCACTGAGTAATGATGAATGGAATATTTACCTAGTCATTTAGTGCTGATCGGATTCTATTGATAAATTTGTAATGTATCCACTGGTATGAATGACTTAACATCGCATGGGTTTTGTTGAAGATTAGTTTCTCGTATTAAAAAAATAATTTGAGGATAATAGTGACTATGAACGCTACATAACTAGTGGACATATAAATGGTTAGGACCGTTTTTGAAGTAATTAGGTTGTTTATCATCCTTAAGGTGGCCTGTATTCGCAGGAGTAGTAGTGGTAGTAGTACAATGTAGGTATATTGAGTTTCTTTTAGTAAAACAACATTTCTTAAACCTTTATAACTTTCACTTTGCAACCAGTTGTTTAATGACGCTACCAGTGATTGACATATTTCGTACTCATCATATGCCCATACCCATTGGTTGTTTTTATCGGTAGAAAGTTTTCACATGTAGTGATGCCATGTTTCTTTTGCGACTGATATATGTTTACATTAAAAAGAAGAATATATTTGTAAAATCTCATTCGCTGAGATTTTACAAATATATTCTTCTTTTTAATGTCTCAAATGAACTCGGCGCCCAAATATTGTGAAACTATTCGTTTAAATTTAGACGAACGTTCTTATTTAATGATATATGTTTATCCCAAGAAAAAATTTAATGTTATTGGTTTTTGTGTTTCGTCTTGAATATTTACAATAGAGCTTATGGTTAGCTTATATTTATATTTTCAGTACATTTGTAGTGTTAGTCATTAGCTTTAGCCCATAATATATCTTACTCTAGTTTTCGGACATTACATTACATTCATTCTACTTGAGTCATATTTTGACCTTGTCAATTATTCGCTTATTAGCCTTGACTGATTTATATGAGCGCATATGTGTGTGTACATCATATCCCATGACTCATTGCATGTCTGTAGCTTTATTTTGTCTGACTATAAATCTTGAGTAACGCTTGACTAAAATGGAGTTGGCTTACCAGCCATCTCCACTCTGTGTCGCTTCTCTTCCGTCTATTCCATTCACCTCATATGCAAAATATATGTATCCAACATCCCATTCTCGTTATTTGACTTATTTAATTCTGTTATTGGATAACGTGATTTAAGTCGATTATATAGGAGAATAGGTGATAGCAAACATTTATACGATCTAAATAGGAGTCAGATATACGGGCCACTAAACATTAATGTTGCATGCCCTGTAAAAAAGAACAGAACTCTTCTTTTTAAAACTGGGCTTACATATATTCTATAAATCTATCACCACCTTACAACATAGCAAATGATGTATCTTTCAAATGCTCATATTCATTATTTTTATATTGGTAAAAATTACAGTTGCTTTTTTCTAAAATTTCTAATTCAAATTTTATATCAACTGAAGGACGATACAAAACTGTGTTAGTTATTTAAATCCAACCTGAGATTTGTTTCATTATGTTTCTCTTAAGTTCATCTACAGTGCATATCTGTACTGCACTGTTCATAAAGTGCGAACATTAAATGCATATATTTAACACAATTAACTTCTCATTAGTGATCAGAAAATTATACTGTAAATAATTTTGAAGGGGATCCTAAAAACAAAGTAAATAGTTGTACATCTGAGTTGAAAGTAAATATTGAGGTTCTGAAATATGAATGATGATCAAGATTCCTGTTTACTGAAATGCTTTCGTATTAATAGAATGTTAACAAACGGTAAATTGGAACATTTTTGCAAAAAGGGTAACGTTAAAGAGAAAGGTTTCAGTTGTTTTTTTGTTTTGTTTTGTTACCTCTACACAGTTGAAAACTGTAACTGGTTGAAGTTTCTGTAATCTTAAATAGACTTTAAATGAAAAGCTCACGGAATCATGCTTCTCTGTATATTTCCCCCAATAAATCGTAGTTGTTATCCATTTACTAAGTAGGTCAGTTTCAGAATAATTGGTTAATAATCTAGGTAGTTTGAGGACCGAATTTCACAATGAAATAGATATGGAACATGGATAAGGTTTCGTTTCTTTTTGTTTTTGGGACCTGGATATCAACATATATATCGTCTCTATCCATGGCATGCTTTTAAATACTGGATTAAGTTTCAGTCATGTCATCATAAAAACCTTTGAATTGCTTTCTGAGTATGTTAATGAAGATTCAAATTTATTACACATCCAAACGGCTGTATAAATTTTAAAAATAAACTAATTGAAAAGTGTTGTACTACCAAACAGTACGTGTAATCAGATTGATTAATGTATTTTTTTTATTTCTAATTGATTTCTTGTCATCAGAAGTAAGAAACAAAAGCGCAAACGAACTTATCAACAATCAAATGAACAACCGACTGTGATCGATCTTACTAATTCTGATGATTCGTGTAATAATAGTTTGACAGAACAAACAGTATCAACAACTAGAACTGAATCAATTGAAAATTTGCCAATATTCAATGTTTTATCATGGAATATTCAAGGTTTGGAGCCAGCAAACCTAAACAAACGAATGATGTCTGTAGTGGAGACGATAAAGAAGTACATAATTTATATTATATTCATATAAATCGTTTTCGTTCAATAGTGTTATCTAAATCATATTGTTTTCATTGTCCAAAGCTGTTTGACAAAATATTCTAATGAAACAAATTTTTTGCATATTGACATGTATTTAACAACTTGAGTGAATCCATCATTACTTCAGCATTTAAACCAGTTTCATTCGACTCGTTAATGAGGTGCCATAAAAAACAAAGTTTTTTATCTGTACATAATTCAGTCCAGATCAAGATGGTCTAGCAACTGATTAACCCATTTTTCACAGCAAAATAGTTTTTCATTCATGTCATGCCTACGTTTAGTTTTGAAAAAAATGTTTTCCTTTGTTGACTTTTTGCTTTAAACTCCTTTCAGTCGAAATGTTTATTTGTGTGCCGTCCCTTTTAATAGTATATATATATATATATATATATATATGAAGTTTTTATGGGCGTACATGTGCAATTCTCAACTTATTGATCATAGACCTTCAGTGCACCCCCGACATTTCAACTAACCTGTTTTAAAAAGTCAGACAGTCACACCTATGGCACTCCATTTCTATTCCCCTTTAATCTGTGAGGTATTAAGGAAAGATATTTTCAAGTGAATACAATGAATTAAAGTAGTGGAATAGTTTCCAAGGTTACATCAAAATGGAATAAACTTCTAGTCAACGTGCAAATTAGTCGATCAAATGTATATTTTTTTTATTATATACACCTTTGCGAACAGAAACATTTTTTTAGTTTACTAATAGAAATATCCAGTTGTGTGCATTTCGATCAAATCTATCTTAAGCGCCCCTTAAACGTTCAGCTATATGTTGGAAAGCCTTGTATAACTTCACGGCCATGTTAGAGAATTTCATGTCATCACGGGGAAATAATCAGCCGTATTGTATTCGTCTCAAAAATGATAGGTGTTTGCCTTTTGAACTAGTTTTTATATTATTATTCAGGCTTCATTGAAGAAAATAAATCATTGGTAATCTGTAGAATGAATATATATGGCTTGAACTTTCAGTAGTAAGTCATGAACAAATGAACGTTATACTGACTTGGTAATCAATTTATGAGCTTGATGTCTTAACTTCTGACTGTCTTTCAGCCCACTTGACATTTTCGTGTTTGTATCGGTATTTCGTTATCCCAAAAACCCGTTAGCGTTGTTGCAACTTCTGATGTATTGTTTATTTCCCTTATTAACTAGATCATTTTGCAATATACGTTTCTGCACAAGACATAAATCATTTCACTTCAATGCTTTCTTTCCATTGGATTCCGTAAGATCAAATCTTTGAATATTTCTATATGCCAAAGCAAAAAACACGATCCGACAGATTATATTATTCTTAATAGATATTTATTAAACTAATCGATTTAATGTAACATTTGTGTAATGCGTCACTCCATTACGTTACACATAAGTAACCATTGTTTTATCTCTCATTTCTATTGGTTAATCAGAACCTTACTATTACTTCGTTGGGAATTGTAATTATAGTAATCATTCGATCATATCCAACTGACAACTTTTCTCTGCATTTGCTTGACGCTAAGTGTTTCTTACGATAATTTCATCGCCTCGAATGTAAGTTTGTAAATTACGTGTCGAAGAGCCTGTTTTCTATCTTTTGCGAAGAAATTCAAATATATAACAAAACAAAATGACATCTCTCTGTTTTTTTAAAGATTTAAATTGTTTTTAACCTATATCAATTGATAAGATTTATTTTGATATTGACAGTTAATTCCCATCAAAACATTAAAAATTATAATCACGAAGTTCTGCGAAGGGATCTCTTTTGAACGAATTTATTATCAAGCTATACAATCGTATATATATGAATTTTTTTAAAATACTTATTATTATTATTATTATTGCAGTTCCCCATTACTTACGTCTTATATTCTCATTATTTTATTCATAAATGCTCATCATATCACTTGACTTATTTATACACCTCTATAACCTTTAATTATGGTAACAAAAACATTTCAATCATTTTAATCATCTTATTATATTTATTGAATCTTTTTTTATTATTAGTATTACGTACTGTAGTATTATAATCTTTATATCACATCATCTTGGTTTGTACTTTAACAAAAAAATTCATATATATATATATATATATATATATATATATATATATATATATATATATATATATATACGATTGTACAGCTTGATAATTTATTCGTTGAAAAGAGATCCCTTCACAGAACTTCGTGTTTTTATTTGGATATGGTAAGATTTGAATTATTGCAATAAGTATTCAACAGCTTGTTATATATATAGCTTCAAATAATATCGATAAAATACATATCTGTTCTTATACTTGGGTTTCCGATAACTTGCATTTATACCCTATTCGACTGATTTTCATATTTTTTAGAGAAGAATTCCATGTGGTTTGCTTACAAGAAGTTATACTTGTCTGTTTGGAAATTCTCCGTGAGAAGCTAGAGTCAACGTATGATATTTTTTCTGCTTCTGATCATAACTCTCTATGGGATTATTTTGTTGTCATTTTAGTTAAAAAGCATCCAAATATAAAGGTTGACGCGGATTCTGTTAGTGTAAGTGATAACGTTTGTGTTTTTTTTATTTATTCATTCATTTTTTTCTTACATCTTTGATTTGACAGTTGACTAAAATATCATTGTTAATTTCAAATTTGATATGAAATACAGGGAAACTTTCACTGGCATTGTCCTTGTAGTATTCAAACTTGATTTTCTATATTGGAAAGCTATTTTTTCTATTGAGATTCTAGCTGATATTTCGAATTAGAAAGGTGAAGAAAATTACGAAAAGTAAATAGTTTTAATTATAGTTGGTGTAAACAAATATTTGGCTATTAGTGAGCAGTAAACATTTGGGGTATCGATTTTCGGATCTTGTTAAAAAAAACGAGCTTTTATTGTTGTTTAGAGATATCAGGTAGTGTATTAACAGCTTATTTCAAGCGAGGAATTTCGAACGTCACCGATACCGCAAAATGTGTTTACTCGCTTTTCCGGTTTTATTTACTTCATTATATAAAACAATCCATTACGAGTTGCTTTAAGATGAATGTCGCGAAGTTCTGCCGAAGATTTGTATATTAGTCATCTTGTTAATCGAGTCGAAAGCTTGGACGGAGGTTAACCTTAAATCTTTAACTTACTGAAAATCGAGGAAATCTTCAGTATGTATTAGGATTCTAATACAGTAACTGATGAGTGCTTGTGTATATATTTCTGATAAATTTCATACTTATATGAAACTTAATCAATCCTTACTTATTTTTAGTGATGTTTCAACTGGTATCAGTTGATCATGAGAATTGATAAAAGTAGATATTATATGATGATTGATATTGTCCGATTGAAAGGAGTAACCAATCCAAAAAACATCAAGTCTTTCGATCGCATATCAATATAAAGTGGTTAGAATATTTAAACTGAATGATTATTATTGACTCAAAACGTCGTAATCTACTGTAAGAGCACTTCAAAATAATATCGACTTTCTTTTCATAGGTTGTACTTTGACATCAGACATTCCCAACAGTTGCCCTTTCAAATTCTCTGATATTCTTCTTTTATACTTTAATCCATTGAAATGCTTGTGCCCGTGATGACGTTTGAAACTACTTCGCCATTGCTTACTAGATTATTATCGCTGATAATTATAAACGAGGCGAAATCACCCATAGATTCCCAATTTAATATTCCTCTTAAAATAATAATAAACAATCACTTCATTTTGGAAACTATTGAATAAGCACGAAGAATGAAATGATTTTTATTGATGGAAGGGGTAAAAATATTAATGAACCACGACTGCTAGTCGAATTTTATTTTTAAAAAAAACACGATCACGTAACTGTAACTACTGTTGTTTCTTATTTTTACTAGACTAATTAAAAACTATCGCTAAAGCCAAATATTTTGCTTACTACGTGCAAAGCTGAATTGATGTACTTTACAATATTCAATCTTCAATGCTAAGTTAATATTTCAGGCTTTCTGATAGAAATTTTAGTTCAAATAAAAGCTCTTTTTATTCCTGAGAAAGCATGTTTTTTAATCTTATTTACATTTCCACTATTGAAGTAAAGAGTTTCAACAGTTACTTGTTACCAATTGTTCTTTTTTGTATTTTGTTTTCCTTCACAATATAATATACAAATAGATATAAATAGTGATGTTATGATTTTTATTTTAACTAATAAATTATAAATAAAAATCATCTCAAACTGAAAAGATCACACGTCACCCAAGTAGATTGTGATGTAGGTAGGTGGGTTTTTGTTTTTTTGCGTTCTTCAGTGAATTTAATGTGAAATGGTTTACTTTCACAAAATTCATTCAACTATCTTGTATCTGCCAATTTAATTTTCCACTTGTGTTTTAACGAGTAATTTAAACCTGTTATCTGTATCATTTAAATGTTTTCACATCAAGAGTTTATGTTGCTGAAACCATTTTTATGTGTGAAACTAAACAGATATTCAGTGCTTTTTAAGTAGCACTGACTTTCCAGTTAACAATAATTCATGATTGAAACTGTCAGTGCTTTTTTTAAAATTATTTTCTTGACATAATTCTTATCTTTAGAAGAATTCTATTCATCAAATTATTTCTTAACCATTAAGCTAACCTTGCTGCAGTGGTGTGGTACACAGATATTTTTGCAATTTTCTTGTGTAACAATAAAAGAACAACTAATTGCTTTACATATGCGTCGTAATATTCCAAAAAAAAAATTTAATGGAAGTTTAGTTGTGTTGTATTAAATAACTGTAAACAAACGCCTACGTCAGAGATTCATTAATTTTTAAAAACTCAATTTATTGTGTACATTGAATTGTTAGTTATTTGTTTTATGACAATAAAAATTATATTTAATAAACTGTTAATTACCGATTCCAGTTCATTCTGTAAATTCTCTATATTTATTTACTTTGAAAAAGTGATTTACATTAAGTCACTAAAACACCAGAAATACAATTTTCTACTCATTTGGTATATCATTAAAAAATATATTTATTATTAACATTATTGTTTAGCGAAAGATCACTCAGAATAGAATTATTTAAAAACTGAATCACAAGTTCATTAGTTCCAGATAGTAATTACTTACTTGAATTGGACTCGAATCACTCAAACGTTGATAATAGGCTTCATCAAAATATTGATACATTGTTCTTACTAACTACTTTTCAATACTTGTTTATATCATGAAAATTATATAAAATAAAAGTCAATTAACTTGAAAATTGTAATCTTAATGTACTATTAATAATAGGCTTTACTAATACACTTTCGTACGCTTCATTATTGTACCTCTTACATTTGTTTATTTTTTCTTTATTCACTTACTCAGATTCAACCATTTCCTAATTCTGTAATGAATCGTCATCTGCTATCTATTGATCTGAATTTATCACAGTTTCTATCCAACTCCAGTGTAGAATTAAATCTACGAATATTTACTACACACTTGGAAAGTTGTGCAGAATATTCTGGTGAACGAGTGACTCAATTGAAAAGTGTTTGGGATACAATGTCCAGTTATGTCAAGTGCGGCGATTCTAAAGCTCGTTTAAACAAAGGCCGTGCAAGTATATTTTGCGGTGACCTTAATCTGAGGGATTCAGAGGTAGGTTCTGTCGCTACCTTTATCCATAACTTCAATTAACAGTAACTATACTAAGGGTTATTCGATTTCATCATTGTTCAATCAACTTACTATGTATGATATCGTAGAGGATTGTTTAATGAAAAGCTACCGAAAATATTTTCATTATGATGTGCCTGGAAGAAATAATCCTATTCTAGAGTAAATTTTAGACTACATAAAATGAACGTTCCCTCACCCTTTCGTTTCACTTACTAGTAGATATCACAACTGTTTCCACAGCTTTTTGGATACCATACCAAGCTATCTCAGGGGTATAATTCTTTCGGCTGATTAGTTCATTCTCCAGTTGTTCCTGAATTATATCTTTAACTTTCTCGTCATTAATTTGTACACCAAGGGGTTTTCTTGATGTGGCTTTTCTCCGCCTATCAAGATGCAGACAAATATGTGTTTAGACTATAGTATGATCCGGATTCAAACCTGTGCTCCAGAATGAACAAAGCTTCTATCGAGTCCCTCTAACGATGATTAGTGTCGTGATCTATTTGAGTAAATAGTATGGTTCGCCACGTCAGATGATGTTCCTCATGTTTAAAGTTGGTGTTTCTTTTTTAAAGTAGACTGTTATATGAGCATGGTTACAGTAGACGATTGCCACTATCTGTTCACTGAGCGGCGACATTGTAGGACCCATTTAGGAGCCTTTTTGGTCCGATTCAGTCAACTTACTCGAGCATTAAAATCACCTATCACTATTACTGCATCACAGTGTTTAGCCTTTTGAAGGAACCTAAATAACCTCATGGAATTCATCTTTTACTTTATCCGAGCTGGTCAATGTGAGCGTAGGTTAAGAAAACAAAAAGGCAAAGGCGTGTCCCCATCATGACTTAATACTATACCTACACCAGCGAGGCCACGGGAAGTAGCAATGTGGTCCCCGGATATTGAGAGGGTAAACCGCATGAGTTCTTCATAATGACAAGGTGAGCTCAAACAAATGACCGTACTTCGATCCTGAATGCGCATTTCGGAGACAGCATACATGGATAGCGTGAAATTCTATTCCTAGCTAACAAAGAGTGTTTTGTTATCTGATACTAGGTTCGAAACTGTAGTTTAGAGCGTAGTATCACACCAGAAATAACATAACATTCCATGAAATCAAATCATTAATATTGATGGTGTGTGGTGATAAAGATTATGCATCAGGGTTTGTTGTCTGTGTGGAATTGCTAAGGTAAGCAAGTATTTTGATCGTCAACAAGATGTCGGGTGGTGATAGGTGTGTATAAGGTCAGTTGTCATTTTCCGTTTACTTGTATCGTGAAAGGATATTTCTGCTGCATGTTTTAACTAATTACGTACGGATTACATTCAATGGAGATTTAGATTCGACATTATACCTGATTGGTCGCCGCATCTTATTTTATGTACAAAAATCATCCTCCTAACACCTAGAGTATGTATCATCAACAATAAGATTAATTTAAATGCGAAATAAGTTTTCTTCGTTAGGTAAACTCTTCGCCATAGAGAATCAAAATCAACTTTAAATTTACTTGGAGCATTATACCCCTATTGGTTTTACTTTAGTAAATTCAAAAATTATAAATGAAATTCAAACTAACTGTAAGTCGTATTTAATGTGGTGTTTTAGTCCGATTCTTTACTTCCAGAAGGATTACTTGTAGCACCGAACCATAGCTTTCTATATCTTGTTGGTGCTTTAGGATCCCGGACACATGCTCTAAGTAAACTTGTTTTTATTTACTCCGTCATGTGACATCCGGATGATATTGACGATCTTCTGAAGTACACCATAGTGTCGAAGAAGGTTGCATAAGGTTCTCTTATCCACGCTGGCAAACGCTTTCTCATAATCAATGAAGTTGATTTATAGTGATGAGTCTTATTCGATTGATTGTTCAACGATGATCTGTAGTGTCGCGATTTGGTTTGTGCACGACCGATCCATACGAAATGAAACTTGTTGATCTCGAAGCTAGACGTTTACTGAATCTTTCATCTGTTTCAGCAACACTCTGTTGAAGACTTTTTTTAGTATCGATAGTAATGTGATGCCTCCGTAGTTTTCTCACATAGCTTTGTGTATGCGTCTGTGTGAGAAAATTGTGCCACCTATAAACATTCTGTTGAATTCACATAAATTAGCAAATGTCGTCATTTTCGTTCATTCTCCTAGTCCTTGTCATCTTAACATATATTCCTACCCGGTATTGTCCATCCCGACTTTGGCATTTAGGTCTTCTGTCAACATAGTCAGGTTGTTTCGTGATCACTTCACTATGATCAGTTGCAGCTTCTCGTAAAACTGATCTTTTTCATCGTCGTTTCTGTCATTATTGGGTACATGACATTGGATAATATTCATTGTGATTCCTTCATCCTTTGTTTTGAATGATGCTTTGATGATCCTGTGTCCATTAGATTCCCGTCCTATAAGTACTTGTTGTGCTTCTTTGAACAACATCAGTACAATTCCTTGTGTGTACGAGGCATTCTCTTCTTCATGATCAGAGTACAACAGCACCTCTTCTGAAGTTAATCTTTTGTGTTCAGCTTGAGTCTGATGGGTTTCACTTATTCCGAGAGCCGTTAGGTTATATCTCCTTATTTTCTCAGCCATTTTCTAGAAAATCACTCCACCTCCTCTTTCTAGGCTTGTGCCTGGAGTCCCTCCGGGGGCTACTGCCGGTCCCAAGCCCGGATAAAGTAGGAGGGTCGGGCATGGGGTTAGCGTCCCCATCCCGTAGAAAACTAACTCGCTAAAAAAGCGCTAACCAGAAAAAATTATTCAAACCTTTTAAACTCTGCCCTGGTAGTCAGAAGGTCTTCATTTAGAAGAACTATGACGCCTCATGATGAGAGCCGAATTCCTTCGGAAGTTACGAGGCCGATGACCCTTCTGACAACCAGAGCGACCATTTATTTAGGTACATGGAATGTTCGTACAATGTGGGACACCGGGAGAACCTTCCAAATTGCTGCAGAAATGAGAAGATACAACCTAGAGGTACTTGGGATCAGTGAAACACATTGGACGCAAGTTGGACAACAACGACTAACTTCAGGAGAGCTTCTGTTATACTCCGGCCACGAAGAAGAAAATGCCCCACGTGCACAAGGAGTTGCATTGATGCTGTCCAAACAAGCGCAAAATGCGCTTATAGGATAGGAATCTCATGGACCAAGGATCATCAAAGCCTCGTTCAAAACAAAAAAGGAGGACATTTCAATGAATATCATCCAATGCTATGCGCCTACCAATGACTACAATGAAGACGTGAGAACCAAGAGAGGAGCTGATATAGCATCAGATCATCACTTGCTGGTCGCCAAGATGAAATTGAAACTCAAGAAGTACTGGACAACGGGACGGACAATATCACAAAAGTTCAATACGACATTTCTTCAGGATACTGACAAATTCAACAAATTCAAGATAGCCCTCAGCAACAAGTTCCAGGCCTTTCATGATCTACTCAATGGAGAAGGAACTACTGTGGAGAGCAACTGGAAGGGGATCAAAGAGGCAATCACTTCAACATGTCATGAGGTCCTGGGTCACAAGAAGCACCATCACAAGGAATGGATCACTGTTGATACACTGGATAAGATTCAAGAAAGAAGGAACAAGAAGGAAGCAATCAATACCAGTCGAACAAGAGCAGAAAAAGCCAATTCACAAGCTGAATACACAGTAGTAAACAAACAAGTGGAGAGGAGCATTAGAACCGACAAACGTAAATATGTGGAAGTTGTAGCAAAGATGGTGGAAAAGGCTTCAAGAGAAGGGAACATGAGACAATTGTATGACACGACAAAGAAACTCTGGAAATCGCCGCAAACCAGAACGACCAGTGAATAGCAAGGAAGGCTAGGTAATCACCAACATTGAAGAGCAACAAAACAGGTGGGTAGAACACTTCAAAGAACTCTTGAATTGACGAGCTCCACTGAACCCACCCAACATGAAGGACTGTGTAGACGTCCAACTTCGTTCATTCACAAAACCACATGGACTTCACCGGATTACACCACGCAAAACCAAATCGACCATATTTGCATCAACAAAACGTTCAGGAGGACTATAGAGGACGTGAGAACCAAGAGAGGAGCTGATATAGCATCAGATCATCACTTGCTGGTCGCCAAGATGAAATTGAAACTCAAGAAGCACTGGACAATGGGGCGGACAATATCACAAAAGTTCAATACGGCCTTTCTTCAGGATACTAACAAACTCAACATTCTCTTCAATAAGATTTGGGATGAGGAACAAGTACCAAAAGACTGGAAAGAAGGACTCCTTATCAAAATACCAAAGAAAGGCAATCACAGCAAGTGTGATAACTACAGGGGCATCACTCTTCTCTCAATACCGGGAAAAGACTTCAACAGAGTATTGTTAAACAGGATGAAGGACTGCATAGACGCCCAACTTCGTGACAAACAGGCAGGATTCCGTAAGAATAGATCGTGTACAGACCAAATCGCAACTCTACGGATCATTGTGGAACAACCAATTGAATGGAATTCATCACTCTACATCAACTTCATTGACTACGAAAAGGCATTTGATAGCGTGGACAGAACAACACTATGGAAACTTCTTCGACACTACGGCGTGCCTCAAAAGATAGTCAATATCATACAGAGTTCATGTGATGGATTACACTGCATAATCGTGCATGGAGGACAGTTGACAAAGTCGTTCGAAGTGAAGACCGGTGGTAGGCAAGGTTGCTTACTCTCACCCTTTCTCTTTCTCCTGGTGGTCGACTGGATCATGAAGACGTCAACATCTGGAGGGAAGCACGGGATACAGAGGACATTTAGGATGCAGTTGGACGATCTGGACTTCGCAGATGATCTGACCCTCCTATCTCAAACGCAACAACAAATGCAGGAGAAGACGAACAGTGTAGCAGCAGCCTCAGCAGCAGTAGGTCTCAATATACACAAGGGGAAGAGCAAGGTTCTCCGATACAACACAGCTTGCACCGATCCAATCACAATTGACGGAGAAGATTTGGAAGATGTAAAATCTTTACATATTTGGGCAGCATCATTGATGAACAGGGTGGATCTGATGCAGATGTGAAGGCGCGGATCGGCAAAACAAGAGCAGCATATTCACAACTGAGGAACGTCTGGAACTCAAAACAACTGTCAACCAACACCAAGGTCAGGATTTTCAATACAAATGTCAAGACAGTTCTACTGTATGGGGCGGAAACCTGGAGAACTACGAAAGCTATCATCCAGAAGATACAAGTGTTTATTAACAGTTGTCTACGCAAAATACTTCAGATCCGTTGGCCGGACACTATTAGCAACAACGTACTGTGGGAGAGAACAAACCAGATCCCAGCGGAGGAAGAAATCAGGAAGAAGCGTTGGAAGTGGATAGGACACACATTGAGGAAAGCACCCAAGTGTGTCACAAGACAAGCCCTCACATGGAATCCTCAAGGCCAAAGGAGAAGAGGACGACCAAAGAACACATGACGCCGAGAAATGGAAATAAACATGAAAAAGATGAACAAGAATTGGATGGAATTAGAAAAGAAGGACCAGGACAGATTGGGTTGGAGAATACTGGTCAACACGTTTTCATTAGGTTTGTTCTATTTTCACCAGACAGATGTATTTTCTATTTTTATAACTATTCTGCATGCATTTTAAAAATTGGCTACACTAGTTACTTATAGGAAAGTACTTTAGACTATATAAAGTATTTTTCTTTCTTTCCATTATAGTAAATATCTCATAATCGTAAATGACCTTTTATCCCTTCCGTTTTATATCCTAGATTTTTTATACATGGACACTTCTTGGAGATTTGTTATTATTCATTCCTTACTTGGTTTTTCACATATCTTATTTCGTGCTTTTAGTACTCAAGAATTTACAAGAAATGTTGCCTCTGATTTTTCCCCAAAAATCGCTGTGTCTTAACCAAATGTTGTCATTTATCTGTTTTGTTTATGTACCTATCCGTGATTTACAATGTGCTGTATTCATGAATGTTTTTTTACATTGGTAGGTCAGCTTGTTAGGTGGCTTACCTTGTGGGATACATGATGTATGGTATGAATGTGGACGTCGCCATGAGATAAGAAATACTTGGGACCCTATGCACAACCTAAATGCTCGACGTCAATTCAGAGGTATTCCTCGAGCTCATATGACTTTCCGATATGATCGCATGTATGCGTTAGGCTCCAGATTAAAATTCGTTGATTTTGGCCTTCGTGGAATCGAAAAGGTTAAGAATCTTCCGTGTTTACCTTCTGATCACTGGGCTATACTTGGTCGATTCTTATTAACTGGTTTGTAATCTTCATTGTTCTGAATCTTGTGAACCACTTCCCGCATTTAAGAACGCAGATTTCTCTTTCTTTCATTCCACAGTTGTGTATAAAAACAGATGCTTAAATGAACATTTTTTCAATTTATTCCTATTTTTGAGCATACAACTACTTGGTATATATCAAATAACAGTTCTATTTAAATCTGTATATACAATAAGGTTTTACCTTATGATATTATTGCACTCTTCAGTATCAGGTAGATAAGTTGTTTGCAATTAAAGTTCTGGTTACAATTGAATGCGCATTTATTGCTGCGCGCAGCTTGATGTTCCAAGTCCTATATTAATTGTGTAGGTTTCAAAATTTAGGTTTGAATAGCGTAGTTTTGCTCATCAAGATTAATGTTTTAAGTTGTTTTTGACTCAATCGCAAGTAACAACTTTGGACCTCAAGTCTTCATTCAGTTACAAGTCCTGCAAAACTATTACAGTGATTGTTTCCACACATTTGGAATATAGTTGTGATATTCTTGTAGTCGATAACAACAAAGCGTATGTGTACCAACGTTATAATACTTCTGAATGAATTTACTGTGACTGGAAATTCGAATACTTTAGAGGTACTTTTTGAAACCAAGTTATTTGTAGTAGATTCGTGTGCGTTTGTGGTACTCTTTGTCAACTGGTGGTCCTTGTGAGATATGTCCTTCTGTAGTCCTTATATTTATATCTTATTCTGCACGAAAAGGTCTCATAAAATCTAATTAATGTCTCTGCTCATGAGTTCCCTTGATAACCTTCATATTATTAGCTTCACCTTAGTAGTCATTCATAGTCCAGAGACATTCTTGAAGTTCGTTTCGAGTAAAGTAATCAGCGAAACTAGTAGATAGATCTGTATCGCTATATTAAGAGAAATTGTATCCAATACAGCACATATTTCTCAAAAAGTATTAATTGCTTAATCCGACGAACAAACGCTAGCGGTCATAAATTTACGCGTTTATCCGTCAGCTTGAAATCAAAGAAAAGATTGTCGCTAGTATAAAGGAAAGTAGTCTGGTTATACCGATTACTTCCGATTATATCATAGTAAGTTTTAATTCTCCAAAGTAAATGTTCGTAGAAACCCGGCACTTATTAAAATCACCAAAGTGGTTGCTCTTTTGAATGAGGATATTTCCTCTTTCAAAATGTTGCTTTCAAGCGCGTGAATATTTCGACTGTCATAAATAAAGGAACAAACCTTGTGGAGCGACATACCGCTACCAATATATATTTCGATATTTAAAGTAACAGCAATCTCACTCAACTATTTTGAAATAATTCGATTAACCTAGGTAGATAGGACTCCAAGGATTAAGCAATCTAGTTTGCATGAATATTACACAACAATTGATTATATGATGGTACAACAGGTCAGTTATAGTGACTGCATTTCCACCTATAGGTCATCTAGAGCAAAGGAGGAGGGTCGAGCATAGGGTTAATGACCTCATCCCGTAGAAAACTAACTCGATAAGACAACGATAACCAATAAAAATAATTCGAACGCCCAAACTCGGCTCTGGCATTTGAAAAGTCTAAATTGAGAAGAGCTAGGATGCCTCAAAGTAAAAGCCGGGTTCCTTCGGAAGTCAGGAGGCTGATGCCAGTTCTAGAAACCGAAACAACGATTGGTATAGGCAGTTGGAACGTACGGACGATGTGGGAAACAGGGAAGATGAGTCAAGTAGCAACGAAGATGGGGAGGTTCAAATTGGAAGTACTGGGAACCCATTGGACCCAAGCTGGACAACAAAGGTTAGATACGGGAAAGATGCTGCTGTACACTTGTCACGAAAAAAGAAATACTCCATTCACTCAGGGAGTTCCTCTGATGTCAACCAAAGAAATACGTAATGCCCTTGTAGGATGAGAATCTAACGGATCCAGGGTCATCGAAGCATCCTTCAAAACAAAGATGTAGTGAATCACGTTGAATGATATCCAATGTTATAGACCCACCAATGATAGCAACGACGACAATAAAAATCAATTCTATCAGTGGCTGTAGTCAATCAGAGCGAAATGTCCAAGAAAGGATCTGACCACCTTGATGGGAGACCTTAACTCAAAAGTCGGAATGGACAACACCGGATATGAAGAGATCTTGAAACGACATGTACTGACTGGAAGAAAGGAACGAAAATGGGGAAAGATTCATAAACCTATGTGGAATCAGCAAATTAGTTATAGCGGCACAATATTCCCACACAAACGCGTACACAAATCTACATGAATCCCACCGGACCGCACTACGGAGAACCAGATATATCATATTTGCATCCATAAAAGACTTCGAAGGACAATGGAAGATGTGAGAACCAGGGGAGGGAGCTGATATAGCTTCAGATCATCACCTGGTGGTGGCCAAGATGAAGCTGAAGCTAAATAAACACTGGACAAACAGGATTACAAAGGTTCGTCACAGCATTCCAACGAGAAACTAACAAACTCAACAAATTCAAGATGACTTCCAACAACAGGTTGCAAGTCTTACAGGATCCACTGAAATAAGAAGAAAGTATTATCTAGGACAACTGTAATGGAAATGAAGGAGCATTAAATTCAACATGTCATGAGTTGCTTGGATGCAAGAAGAATCATTATGAGGAATGAATTTCTATCGAAACCGTGCACAATATTCAGGCAAAGGAAGTACAAGAATACAGTTGATGATGATACAGGTATTCAGTGTTTGACAACGCTTCTACCAGTAACACCTTCTAATATGCTTTGTTCCCACCGAGAGAAATCAAAAGACAGAGTCGAGGAGATCGGAAGAGTGTATTTGGCGTTAACCAATATATCGGGAATCTCTGATCTAATCTGGCTAGTGATTGCGGTTGATGTTGAGCACAGCGTTACAGCACGTGATGTGGTGCGGATGCATGACCGAGCGCCTTCAGCTAGATGAGTCCACTAAAACATATGGTCAGCATCCAATGTCGAAAACCTATTGAGCTATTTAGTTTGGGGATTTATTTACCGCTACACAGTAATTAACAACATTCAAGTCACAAGTTTAGTACAAAGAAGCAAACAAGCAAGTGAAGGGAAGCATTGGCGCTGGCAAGCAGAAATACGTGGAAGAGACATTGAGAACAGCTGCAAGAGAATGAAATACGAAGCAGCTATATAACACAAAGAACAAACTAGTAGGGATGGCCAGCAGACGAATCAAGAGTGGAAAAGCAGAAGTACCTAACAATATATCAGCCGAAACTCGGAAATCAGACATGGAAGTAACTAACAGTGTGCTTCACGTCCTATTCAGAAAGAGTTGGAAAGAAAAACAAGTACAGATGGACTGGACGACGTACACTTCACCAAGATGACAAAGAGAGGAAATCTGAGCAAATGTAAGAACTTTAGAGGAATCACACTACATTCCGTATCAGCAAATGTGTTTAACAGAGTGTTAGTGAAGCAGACGAAAGTATCAGTAGAAACCCGATTTCGTGGTCAAAAGGTAGTGCAAAGTAGTGCAAAGACTAAATCGCGACAATACGGATCATCGTTGAACAATGATTTGAATGGAACTCGTCACTATACATCAACTTCGTTGATTATGCGAAAGCATTTGACAGCGTGAAGAAGGGGACACACGAGCAAATGAAGGTCAAGACAGTCAATGTAACATCAGCCTCTGCATCAGTAGGCCTCACCATATACAAAGGGGAAATGCAAGATCCTGAACTAGAACCCAAACAACTACCCAATCACACCTAATCCTCGTACAGCGCTTCCCCATTAAATTTTTCAGCTCGCGACCTGGCTAGGTAACCATCGTCTGGAGCTGCAGATGACTTGAAAACATGACAAAAGACCTTTATGCAGGGCCAAAATTATACAATATATGTTTACGGAGATAAATAAGAATAACCATTATTTTTGTGAAATTTCCTACCAATCCACGAAAATACATACAGAACTTATCTAATAAAAAACTAAGTCGAATTGAAACTGAAGCACTCTGCCTTGGATTCAAATTTCATATCCCAAGAAAATGCAACAGAATAGACACTGAGACCCAGTTTGAATATTTATATCAACAATTATCAGACCTTAAACCCATGAACGACGAAAAGCATAGTTGGTTTAAATCTAAATTAGTGGATATCACAAACCAGTATGTTACGACACCAATCCCACACTCAAAGGTTTTCACCGAAGATCACCATCAAGCACTGGAAAAACTTATTAAAGACGAAACAATAATGCTACTTCGTCCGGATAAGGGTTCCAGTGTAGTCATTCTCAACAGAGATGAATATATCAATAAGGTAATGTCCATTTTAAATAACTCCACCAGATTTATCATCGACAATACCCAGAAAGACTTAACAGATGCGACAGAGAAACGTGTCTTAAGAAAGTTGAGAGAACTTGTTAAGAAAAATCTAATAGATATTCATACGTATAACGAACTCAAACCAAAAGGGTCACAATTGCCATATTTATATGGGCTACCCAAAACACATAAACCCGACACCCCTATAAGACCAATATTATCGATGGCCAAATCACCCTTCCATAAACTTGCCCGCTGGCTTACCAGATGCTTGGAACCAATCCGAAAAAAACTAGCAGCCTACAGTTTGAAAGACAGCTTTGAATTTATACAAAAAATTGATAACCTTAATGTCTCTGACAAATTCATGGTTTCATTTGATGTCTCTTCGCTTTTCACAAATATCCCCTTAGAAGAAACGGCAGCGATCATATGTGAATATCCAGAACTCCTGCCTTTACCACCCCAGGAATTTAAACAGCTCCTGTTTTTGTGTACAAAAAACATACAATTTAAATTTAACAATGTTCTGTACCGACAGATTGATGGAATAGCAATGGGCAGCCCTCTAGGCCCAATTCTTGCTGACATATTTATGGGACGTCTGGAACAAAAGAAACTGAAGCACGCAATTGACAGTACCACTCTCTACTGCAGATATATGGATGACACGTTCCTTGTCT